TCTGTTTACCGGCACCACCAACTATTGCGATCAATCAATCGATTAAATAAACTTTCTCAAGAACAGAATCAAGGGCCAAAACTCCCCAAAAGTAGGATAAACAATACCCGGTCTTTTTTGTCAATTTATTCGATTTCAAATGCATCTATAAATAATACATTTCAAACATACAATTATGGAAAGTTTTGCCACATGTCATCTTCTGAGTAAACATTCATTATAATATTATAAATTTTCTTTCCAAATTGAGATATTCATTAATTATAGAGGTAATTCCCTAAATAGGAGTAAAAGCGTTTTGAAACTCCAAAATACGAGTATCATGTTTTTTATTTCTTGAATAGAAGTAATCTGCCAAGTTTGGAAAAAACTGTCATCTTTAAAGCCTTGTAAAACCAAACTTGGCAGAAATTTACTCTTATTCAGGGAATAAAAAACATGATACTCTTATTTTGGAATTTCAAAACATTTTTACTGCTATTTAAGGCAATTTCTGTTAATTATACTTCCATTAGAGTAGTATTTAAATTAGATTAGAATTCACGTTGATTTAGACTAAGCGACATTTTGGAAACTTGGAGTCCTACGTAAATACTACGGAGTAATATTTAAAAAGCTTTTCAGATGGCTATAGCTTTTTGTTCAAAAAATAAAATCCATGTTTGTTTTAAAGTACTATAACTTTTTATTTTGTACTCTGATTGTTACAAAAAATATATCAAAATTCATAATTTTTTATTATCTTTCAAATGACACCAATATTGAATATACAAAAATAAATAAAAAAAATATTTTTATTTTTATTTTTATTAGAGACTAATGTCTAGAGTTTAATTTTGAAATGATGCATCTGAACTGTTAGTTAGATGAGATGAATAAGATTGGTAAAAAGAGGTAAAAATGCTCGGACAATATGACCTGATCAGACCAGATCTGATCAAAACAGACAAATCAGATTAAAAATCAGTCCAATTATAACGTTTCCCCAACCTTTCAAAAAATGATTTCCTCCCCCTTTTATTTGAGAAGTGTCCCAATTTTCTCGAAGTTGATATTCAAAAACAAAAATTGAAAAGAAAAGATGAAAAATGCGTACCTTAGCATGGGTTGCCTCCCAAGAAGCGCCTTAGTTAATGTCGCGGCACGACGCCATCATTGTGTTCAATCGTTCAAGCTTGGATCGTGATAACTCATCTTCTTCAAATTTTCACCCAGATGACTCTTATAGAAAGACTCAATTTTTTGACCCTTTATTTTGAAAGTCTTTTCAGGACCAAATATCCGGATTTCAATCGCTTCATGGAGTGAGAGTGAGGGTCCATGATTTTCACTAAGCATGGTCAATGGAAAGGGTTTTGATCCGGGTGGTATAAGAGGGAGTATGAGATATTTGTGTAACTCCACCATTATTCCTTGCTTATTTGTGAACGAAGAGAAGTCTAAATTATACTCACAATTGCTGAAGATTTCATAGATATCTTTGTCCTTCTCCACCCTTTGTGTTTTTCTTAGAGCCTCAGGAAATAGTGGCATGATATCAGGAATGACCGGTGGTTGAGTTGAGTTTTGAGGTTCCTCCTCCGGTTGAGCTTTCTTCGTAAGCTCCTCTTCTTCCTCTTCCTCCTCGCCCATGTGGTTCACAATGCTTGACATTTGTTTCAACTGATTGTCCAAGTTCTGTTCGTTGGACACTGTTTCTTGCAGGCATTGTGACATATTTTGTTGCATATTTGTCACATTGATAGTGAGAGTTCGGATCATGTCTTCAGTGGACATGTTGGAATAAGAACTTGAGTATGGGCTATATGTGTTGGAGAATGAATCATACATCTCTCGAAAACCAACATCATTCCTTTGTTCAAAGTATTCTTTTTGAAGCTCTGGGAAAAAATCCGTAAGATGCCTGTGTGACATGCAAATGCTGCATGTATGGACATCTTGCGAACATGAAATAAACTCCTTTATTAGAGAAGTCAAGTCGTAAATTTGACTCTCTAGGGATGATGTGTTGGTATCCATGTACTCATGAAAGCTCAGAAAATAGAAAAGTAAGATTTTTATTTATATTTTTTTAATTTTTTAATTTTTTTATTTTTTTGAAGATAATATAAAAAGAAAAATAATTGCCTTTCCCCGGCAATGGCGCCAAATTTGACGTGCACTTTGTCGTGGTGTGCACTCAAAGTAATAATACAATACAACAATTATACGTAGTATAATGAAGTAAGGTTCGTATCAACAGGGAAAGGAATACTTCTCTTTTATATAACTAGTAACAAGGGGGTTTTAGATTTGATTTGATTTGATTTAATTAACACTAAGATGACTGACTTAAATGAGTTTAATTAATAGAGATGAGGACTTGGTTTTGCTTTTATCCACTTAATGAAATGTTCGTCGATCCCGGTTATATCTTTAACTATCTTCCTCTCAAATACTCAATTGAGGAGTATATCCAGTTCATCGAGGGTAGTTATTAATAACGAGATGCGTTCATTAATAAAACTTATTATCGAGTCAATATAGAACAAGCGCCGTATATTAACTTGATAGTAGCAATAAACTTAAGATGAAAACGATTGAGATTGATAACCTCAACACAAGCGGTTTATTGGTTTAATCAATATAATTAATTCCCCTTGGCTTATTAACCATGAGAAGCATGCATTAACAACCCAAGTTTACTACCATTGAAAGAACCGAATTAATAACAAGCGTATTAACCGATTGATTCTAGTAATAATTAATATATGAAACAAAACTAGTTGATCCTTTAAGTAATGTTCAAAATATTAATATGAAATATGAATAAGAATTAATTAATACTCAAGGAAGAATATTAAAGAAGATGAATCCTACTATAGTTAATATCAAGATGTTAACTAATTGTCATCTTAGTAACACTCCCCAACATTGATATAGAAATAGTATTTAAAGGAAGAATTAATATTCAAGGAAGAAGATTAAAGAAAATAACTCACAACTTACAAATTCATTAAGCTTCAAAGTAGCAAAATCAAGATGGAAGAGTTTAGCTCCTCATTTGGAGACTAAACATGATGAAAAATATAAAGAAAGAACTTGTCTAAACTGAGCTAAGAAGTATATGTGAATTGATGTTTTTATTGGGAAGGAAAGGGGTGTATTTATAGGCTTTTGGGAGCTGCAAGGTCTGATACCCGACCGGGTATATAGGATACCCGACCGGGTATATAGGATACCCGACCGGGTATCTTAGGAAATTGCCCAGAAAGTCACTTTTCTGGGCATACCCGATCGGGTAAGGGTATATACCCGATCGGGTATGTGACAAATCTTTATGAAAATTTGCTCCCACGATCATTTGTCTTCGGATTTGATTTGGACAGTCGAATCAAGCAATTACCCGATCGGGTATAGGCAATACGCGACCGGGTACATGAGTATTTTTTCCAAATCAAAATCTTTCTTGCCTCCTTGCACTTTCCTTGATCTTTTAAGGTCCAATCTTGATCCCTTGGATGATCGTTGACCTGTTTAGCTCGGAAAAATCCTAATCTAACTAAATTACAAATAAAAATGAAAATAAAGTATTACACCAAAAGTGTGTAATTTCCACAACTAGAACTAATAAAAACTAGTTAAAAATACAAACATACAATCGGAAATTATATGAATATCAGTAACCCGGTGACGGAAATGCCGAGGAAATAAGTGAGTGGGCCGAGGTCTGTCATGGAAAATTCCGCGGTAAGAGAGGAGATGATGTGACGCCGGAAAGCATCGGATGAGGCAGTCAAGATTATGTCATCTACGTACAAGAGGATATTGGCAGTGTCGGTACCATTCTTGTGAATAAATAGTGAGTGGTCACACGTGCTGTGGGTAAAACCAATAGTTCCAAGATAAGAGGCAAACCGTTGGTACCAAGCCTGGGGGGCTTGTTTGAGGTCGTAAGGAGATTTTAACAACCGGAAAACATGTGACGGGTGGGTGTGATCATGGTAGCCAGGCGGTTGGTGCATGAAAACTGTTTCCTCAAGATGCCCGTGAAGAAAAGCATTCTTAACATCAAGTTGATGAAGTGGCCATGAGTGAGAAACGGCTAAAGTGAGTACAGTACGTTTCATCACAGGGATGAATGTTTCATCACAATCCACTCCAACCTGTTGTGAATTTCCATTAACAACCAAGCGTGCCTTATGTCGTTCGAGAGAACCATCAGACCTGAACTTGTGTTTATACAACCACATACAACGAATAATATTAGTGTGAGGAGGACGGGGAACCAACTCCCACGTCTTATTTTTAATTAAAGCAGTAAATTTATCATCCATGGCGGACTTCCAGTTAGGGTCTTGGAGAGCAAGAATGGGCGATTTTGGAAGTGGGGAAGGGGAGATGACGTGATTGAGGTTGTATGGGATTTTTGGTTTAAACACACCTGCCCGGCTCCTTGTGGTTATGGCATGACGTGGGGGTGGTGTGGCAGGAGGTGGGGAAGGGTGTATGACAGGTGGTGGGGACGGGGAAGGATTATTTATGGGAGGGGAGTGGTCTGTCGGTGTGAAAGGGATATTAGAGGAGGGAGGGAACACCTGGACATTAGTTGGTGACGTGGGTGTATGAGAAGGGGAGGCCTGGAGAAAACGGTAGTATAGGTTGGGTTCATCCACAGAAGTATATGAAGTGGGGAAATGGGATTTAACACTACGCCAAATATGCCCTTTTTCAACAGACTAAAACAGTCAAAAAAAGTTATTTTCGACAGTTTTGATCCGTCGAAGTGGGTGTCGAAAAAAAAGAGTCAAAAATTTATTCGACTCACTTCACTTGTTGATGTCAGATTCTGAAAAACTACTCCTTTGAACTGTCAATAATTTAACGACAAGAAATATAAGTCGAGATTAGTTAGTGTATATTATTATACAGTTTTGTTGTACCAACATATATTTTGATTTTTATTTTATTATGCACACCAATCATAGCAACAATTATAATAAATTGTAAGAGAATAAAACAAAGTGGCAATTTCATTCATCTTAAAAAAGTCAAAACAACTCAATTAAAATTGAGTACAGTTTGGAATGGTTTGATCATCAAGTGCCATTAACACATACACATGGTCCAAATTGACCTTTTAACTAATATTCAAGTTGCTAGTCTGAATCTGAAATGTAAATAAGCAAACCAAAAACGAAGAACAAAAGTAGCACTGAACATTAATTGATCCTAGTGAAATGAACATTTGCTTTTGGCCAATTGATGAGTTCTCCAACCAATATGTCTTCAAACTTCTCATCCTTGTCATATAGATACTCACTATCATCAAATATCTCATCAATAATGATACTATAAGCTTCCTTATTTGGTGGAGCTTCCGTATTTAAGCGTCCATAAGCAAGAACTTTTCTCCTTAAGTTTTTCAAAAAACATGTCCTTGTAGTGAGGTCAGATTCACCTCCTTGGAATAGTGAAATGTAATCATTAAAAACACTAGTTGCTAAGCAATTATCAGTGCAATTATAACTCTGAAAAAGATTTAGAATGATCAGCAATATAACTCTACCCAAAAACTCTACCCAAAGGAAAGCCTTGCAATTATGTTTACCATATAATGCTGCTCTACTGAATGAGCTAGAACAGATAGAACAACAAATCATAGGCATCAATGAAAAAAAAAGAACTTGCTACATAATTACTTAAATGATACATACAAAATTACTCGAGTAGAGGGAGTGAATTAAACCCCAACATGTGGAAATGGTGCATAGCAAAAAGACTAGTTTTACTATAAATAATTCATTTCTATTTCTACTTCTAATTTGTATTTCAACATTTCTATTTTTTTTTAAAGAAAGGTCAGATGACAGTAGTAGTAGTAGTGTTTTCAGATTTAAACATTTTTTAATGGAACCAATAAAAACAGCGTGCTTTTACATCAACCCCAGTAGCCTGAAGTATCCCCTTATTCAATATCAGTTCTAAAATGAAAGTTCCAACCAGCCCAACATACAAGCTTTGGAGTTGTATATTTCAGCTGTACTTGTAAAACCCAGAAATGGGGGCTTAAGTTTTGGTTGTTCCTTTGGGTAATCCACCCCGACGGGAAGCTTTGTAGCTTGAACTTTATTTGAAGGAGATGTGTTTCTTGGAAACTGCGGAGCTTCGAATGAGATGACTTTTAAGGGAAGCTTGTTGACTTGGAACCGGAAGCCTTGGGGAGATGGAACACGACAGAAATGGATGTAGAATTGCTGCCATTGCTGTCATTTGCATCTTCATAGTCCTCCATTTCAACATTTTTATTAAATTTAATATTTCTATTTTATTTTAGTTCAACCACACATCATTTTTAACCTTTCGTTTTATTTCTTTGTTGATTCCACAACTTCTTTTCTTCCGTACCAACCTAACACTATCTAAATTGTGTTAGAAATGTTATGACCTCTACAGTTTAAATAAAATTAGTATTTCATCTTTAAGAATTCGAGCCATGTTCTACTCAATTTTTGTACTTGTTACGCTTAAAGTCTCTATTTAAATGTTTTAGTTTTTAAAGTGAAAAGTTTTATTAGAAAAGGGAGGATGAAAGTGTATGAATAACAAAAACATCTTCTGTAAAAATCCAAGAAGTTTACAGTCATGTTCAAATTCAACTCCTTTTCAGATTCACTATTCTTAGGTTCAGAGAACAAAGAAACAAACCTAAAAGCTAAAAGCTTGTAAATAGCATGAGCAACCAAGAACAAAACAATAAGTTTACCTGAGAAGTATCACGAAACTCTTGTGATTGTGGAGGTTTTGTTGCATTACTTTGGACCAGTTGCTTCAATGTAGCTACTTCTTCTCTAAGTATTATTATTTCATTGTTAATCACTTCATGTTGTTTCTTTTCTTTGCGAGCAATTTCTCTAGAAGGACCCGAAGCACGTATCTCAGTCTTTGTAACACCTCCACCCATACCACGTACATAACCCTTTCCATCAGGCCCACATACCTAAAACAGAAATGCATCTTTCATTTATGTACATTATCATTAGAGGAATACAAGATTTTAATACTATATACAATAATATAACACAAACCATCGCAACAGCATCACGATCCAGATCTTTGTGTCCCAAATATGGATCATCAGCTACAAGCTTTCTTATTTGATCCTATAAGTCATCACCAAGATTTACTCACTCAACGAGCCTAGCGAAATGAACTTTCATTATCAGTTTTATACAAGTACTACACTTACCAAGCCTTCACTCGTGCTCATGGAGGTAGAACCAACCTTTCTAACATGTGTGATCAAATACAATTCAGTTCTATTGATGTCCCCAGTAAGACTTTCCTCTTTCTATAAACACACAACAATATAAAAGGACGTGCCAAATTCCATGGCACAATATAACTGAGTCAAAACAATTTTGAATTTATGAGAAGTATATTAGTTACCATTTTGTGAGCTATCCTTGCACAGCCAGTCCTACCCGATGAATGTAGTCTCTTAGCGCATCCCCTTGCTTTTCTGCCCTTTTCACGCCGACCCTTGTCTGCTTTCGTGGAGCAGAACACAATGAACTCTTCCCAGTCTTCTTTTTTCATACCTCTTGGTCTGTTTTTTTTCCGGTCGACATCCGTTTTATGTTTATCATACTTCTTACGAAGTGATGATTTCCAATTTTTCCAAGCAATGTTTGCTTTTCTTAGCACTTTTTTCCTATAAACTTCTGGCACAGAATACTCATACTGCAATATTAATGAGAGAAGATATGTTATAGAAGTTCAGAAATACAAAAAATACTTCAACCAATCTACTTACAGTAACATTGTTCCATATGGTATTCTTGATAGTAGAACTGACATTCTTCCATGATTTGATTGCAGGTGGACAATGTGCCTTTGCAATTTTTCCAACTGCAGTTGAAAACTTCTCTGATCCAAGACCTACAGGCTGCCCATATTCATTGAACATGACATCCTTTTTTGTACCTGACAAAATAATCCATGTTTTCAATAATTAATGACTTAATGTATAACTATTAAATGGAGCCATCGTGTAAAGAAATGATTACTTGACTCGTGATATGTGCTTCTATCACTCCCACTAGAATGTGCATCACTAGTTTGGTTTTCAATAGGAAATAAATAATAGAAATAATTTATAAATGGAAAAGTGGACTCATCAAATGTAACATGCCTTGAAATAATAAATTTGTGAGTAGATAAATCAAAGCATATGTAACCTTTGTGATGAGTAGGAAATCCCATAAAAACACAAGGTGTGGAACGGGGGTTAAGTTTATGTATGGTAGTAGAAGGGGTGTGGGGAAAGCATAGGCATCCAAAAATACGGATGTGTGTATAGGTGGGGTGTTGATGGATATAATATGGCGGTGGGAGTAAGAAAGGACAGAGTTTGACACGGACGAATATTATGTAAATAGGTGGCCATATTTACGGCGTGAGGCCAGAATTTAGGCGGGACAGAGGCATGAATGAGTAGAGTGCGAGTGATGTTATTAATGGTACGTATGGACCGCTCAGCCTTACCATTTTGGGGAGATGTGTAAGGGCATGAAAAACGGAAATGTATACCATTTTTAGTTGCAAACTCGCGAAACAATTGATTGTCAAATTCTTTCCCGTTATCACATTGGAGTACTTTTATGTCGTGTTCAAATTGAGTACGAATAAAAGAATGAAATTTGACAAAAATAGAAAACGTGTCAGATTTGTGACGTAAGGGAAATGTCCATATAAATTTAGTGAAATCATCCACAAATATAACATAGTATTTATGCCCAGACAAGCTCAAAATAAGAGAAGTCCAAATATCACTATGTATTATATCAAAAGGACGATATGTAACAGAAATGGAAGAAGAAAAAGGTAACTTCGTATGTTTGCCTTGTTCACACGAAGAACATACATACGAAATAGATTTATTACATGGCAACGTTTTATTTGTGCTAAGAAATCTAAGAACAGGTGCCCCAGGATGACCGAGCCGGTCGTGCCAAACTGCAGCAGAGGCAAGAAAAGTGGAAGTCGGTGACGGACTGGATATGGTGGAGACTGGATAGAGATCGCCCAAACTGTTACACCTCATGATTTTGGTGCCCGTCTGAAGATTCTTCACGGAAAAACCAAACGGGTCAAATTCAATAGATACAGAATTATCAGTAGTAAAGCGACGAACAGAAATTAAATTTTTAATGAGGGACGGGGCTAGAAGAACATTGTTGAGATGAAGAGGGGGGTGAGGGGGGGAAATTTTGGATTGACCAAAAACCGGAAATGGGCATAGTATTGCCATTTCCAACCATGATGTTGCATTTAGTACTTAAATTAGAAATAGACGTAAGAGAACCTGGATTCGCCGTCATATGAGAGGTAGCCCCGGTATCCATGTACCATTGATCACCCGGGGGAGAGAGTGTAACATTCTGCATGGTGTTGGCAAGATCACTAGGGGCCGATGAGAAAGGGGCTGCCAAATGCGCCTGAGGTGGACGTGGGCCCAGAATGCCTTGACTGGGAGATGGCAGTACAACATGTTGACCAAACCAAGGGACACCGGGGTAGGGGCATGGAGGAGGAGCCCAAGCCGACGGTTGCGGCCAGTACGCCCAGGGTGGTGACGTAGGCCAGGAGGTTCCCATTCCGATGGGTGCAGCGGATGACGAAGAGGACTCATGCCGGCCAGAGGGAGCAAGTCCGCGACCTCCTCGTTGAGAAGAGGTACGTCCGCGACCTCTGCGTTGAGAAGAGGCACGTCCACGAGGTGCTGAGGGGCCTGTTGGCGTAGGTTCGCCGGTGTGAACAAGAGCTGTAGCAGGTGATGAATTCAGCTAGTGATTCTGGCGGGTTTCCTCGAGAACAACCATTGACCGTGCTTTTGAAAAAGGAGGGAGAGGTTCCTTTTGTTGAATCATGGAAGCAACCATATTATATGATGGGGGAAGGCCATTGACCATGCGAAGCACAAGGCGGTCATTATCCACACGAGCCCCAACATTTTTCATCTGGGTGGATAGGGTCTTCAAAACACGGCAGTAGGCGGAGACATTCTAGAATTGATCCAACCGGGTGGAGGTGAATTCATTTTCCAAGAAGACGGCACGGGAGTGCTTATTATCCTGGAAAAGGTCAGAGAGACGGTCCCATGCATCTTGAGCGGTGGAATCAACCTCGATGATAGTATGAAGGAGATCATTGGAAATGGTCCCGTAGATCCATTGTAGAACAATAGCATCTAAACGAGACCATAACGCAGCCGCCTCCTTCCTAGCCGCTTCCCGTGCAAGACGCTCGTCGGCAGTAAGATTAGGATCTGCGGTAGAGGAGGTAGAAGAAGTATCGTCCGTAGACGGGAGGATATGATCAAGGACCTGATAAGCCCGGGCGGTGATTTTGAACAACTCCGCCCATGAGGAATAGTCACTATTCTCGAGATCTAAAGTGATGGGGATAAAATTTTTGATATTTGATATGGCTAGGGCAGGGTGAAACGAGGATTTGGAAGAAGCCATTAATGGAGAGGAAAGGAAACCTAGCAACTGATACCAAGTTAACAAATATAATATTCACTGTAAAATATATCTCATTATTCAATCCTATTTATAGGAAGAGTACATCACGGTTCGTTGCTATAGTGTATACGATTTACAATTGTATCTTAACAAGGTAACTAGCTATACATTGAACCTAGACACCTAGAAATGTGCTAACCGAACAATTGGATAGAATTTACATATAAATAATATTAAATAGTAAATAAAGATGGCCGAGCTTATCCACTCAAATGCACACGTTCGTGTGAGTTCCTGGATGTATGCATGGATTGCATGCATGATGAATTATTACTTAACAGATTTGTTATCTTATTAAGATAATAAACAATGGGTTTTTTACAAGAATATTACTAAAATAAAACTTATTTACATAAATATGACTATTCATTACTACAACGTAGTGCTGTGGTAACTAAAGTTCAAAACTTGAACATGAATTACTATGATTTCATTACTACTCTAGTAATGAATCATATTTTTGTAAACCATCTTTATTTTGGTCATATTTATGTAATTATTTCAAACAATAGCTTTAAAGCCGTTTTTGGACGATTTCAAAATAAATTTGAATTGTCCAGTTTTGTTATCTTAATAGCATGATAAACAGTAGCTTTAAAGTTGTTTTCGGACGTTTTGAAAATTGAATTTGAATGGTCCGAATGGATAAATAATAAGCCTGGTCAAAATTTGTTTAAGGGTCATTAAAATTAGATCATGGAACAACCGTTACATCTCATTCATATGCTTGTATTAATTCTGATTTTCAATGTGTATGCATGAGAACCCACTGCATGCTCCTTTTTTTAATCTTCTCGTGCAATCAAAATAAAAGCCAGAGAGCAAACAATACTCCTTTAATCCCCGTACAAACGTATACTATACTCCTTTGCTGGTTTGTTGAGTTGAATCCAAAAAAAAGGATTATATATCCTTTCTTTCCGAGAGCAATAAGATCCATAGTTCTTTTGTGTGAGGGTTTCTTTTCAACAAAAAGACAACCGGGCAACGGTCGAAGGTTTCAGTCAAAGTAGCTACAAGTCTGAAACGTGGTAGGATTATCCTGGGAGCGAGCTAGCCAAACCCGTCCGAATAGCTATCGGGATACGGGGGCTATCTTTCTTCAAGGTCAACTCGTTTTAACGGGCGATCCTGCGATAAGTTTTCTTATCTTTTCTATTTATTCATTTTTATTTATTCTAACTATTACTATTATTGTTGTTATTTTCTGTTCTTGCATTTGGTGGTTTGTCTGGTGATTTGGTTAAACTCGGGATTTTTATCTGGTTAAACTCGCATTTTTAATATCAATTTTTCTAACACTTATCAAAATTTTCAAGATATTTAACATCACAACATGCTTCTTAGTTCACCATAGGACCCATTGAAGACAGCCGTTGTATAAGCACTTGCAATCAACTTGTTCAACAATTCAGCCATACCTTGGGGGCTTAAGTCTCAAAACGCACCTTTAAGGCATGTGAGGCTATCCACCTCAACCATATGAGAGGTAAACCCTCAGTCCATCCAACGGAAGCTCAAGCCTCGGTTTTCCTTTCAATGGTTCATATTGATGGCAAGGCCTCAAGGCGCACTTCAAAAACGTGTTTTGAAATCATGATCTTTCTATAGATGTACTTTTAAAGTCTTAATTAATAGTTTTGAACCTTATAAATGCTATTGTTACCTTTATTGAATTAGAGTTTCTTTGTTTCTGGACTATACTGAACTGCTTGATGCAATTAATCTTTTCTTTTTGACCATTTTTAGACTTTAGAGTGACTTTTTGAGGGGGCTTGTGTACACTCTACACTCAAATAACACAATTCAGATCCTAACCTTTCTTTATCGTAAAAACCAAGAAAATGCCAAAACTCCCAAAAGGAGAAAATGTTTGGTCCCTTTCAGAAGTGCATTTTTTTTAATATAAGGAATCGGCTTTTATAATAAAATCGAGAAAAGATACAAGGTAACATTGATGACCAGTCTCGAATGGGGAACCATAGAGGAGTCTTTTTTTCGGGTCTAGGACGGTCGCCCCTATTGTCCTCCCCTAGGACCGGCTCAGGGGTACATGTAGGGGGCCTAACCAGTCAATTCAAGTTCAAAAAGGAGACTCGGAATAGATTATGACCCCGGCCGCCCACAAATTGGAAAACTTCGCCTTGTTTTGCTGCTTCGGGCATGCCTAAATATATGTCACACGAGGGCAGTAGACTCAAGGGAGGAGGTAGGGGGCCTAACGAGGCCCGGCCCCGATCCATACCAAATTTGAAAAATATTTGTACTTAAAGTGTAAATATTTATTAGGAAAATCTACCCCAACTTTTTCTCCTGCCTACACCACGGGAGTAGTGGTTTGAGACCACTTAAGAATTAGGTGGTAGAAATCATGAGGCATCTAAAAAGAACCTGCCTGCTCCAATAGATATCAGCTTTGAGGGAGTTGTTCAAGAAATTTCAGTGGATAATAATTCATCAGACAATTGCATTATCAGATTACCACTAGTAGCTCTACACCTGATGTGGGTATGTGTTTTGATTCTTCTCCCGATAAGAAAAATACATAGAATTATAGAAGTGAAGTGAACCAAACTTGGAGAAAGGATTGGCTCAGCATGTCCATTAAAGAGTGGCAATTTGCAGTTGAGAAGGCTCAACTCGTCCAGCATTGCACATGTTTTAGCAGCCTAAAATACAAATATCCTGTCAGATGACATCATTTTGTTTACCTTTCAACACCTAAAAGTTCCTTTAGAACATAATTTATTTCGTAGTGACGTAGTGATAGGGTGTATTTTCTATAACTCTCAAATGATTTTCTTCATTGGTATAACACATAACAAACTTTTTGTATCTTGTGTTTCTTATTTCTTGCTCCGTAGATAGTTGTGCAGCATTTATACTTCGTATATCAGTATTTGTTGGGAAAGTAATACATTTTATTTTATTTTTTTGCAAGGAAAAGATTTAACTTCCATTGATCAAATCATTGTCAAGAATACAAGAGATGAAAGAAGGGGGAACATGAAACCAAGAATGCGCATCAGACATAGAACAAGCAGCTTTAGCAATAGTATGAGCTACCTTGTTCGCTGACCGCCTAATAAAGGAGAACGAAATAGTAGAAATTAGATCTCTAATGTCTTCCGCTATCAAACCAAGAGAGGAGCAGCTTGAGCCCTTCCGGATTTCAGAGATGGCTCTACAAGCATCGGATTCCACCTCTAAATCCTTCCAACTCGTACCTTGGAGCCAGCTTAAAGCTTCTCTTATCCCAATTAGCTCCGCCTCCAAAGGAGAAGAAGTCCCAGGCCACGGTTTGGCCATGCCAGCAATGAACTTCCCATCCGCATCCCGTAAACTCCACCCTAAACCGCTGCGATCCGTCCGAGTTGCAGCGTCCACATTTAGTTTAAACCTGCCCGGCTCAGGTCGACGCCCGTAAGCTTTATTTTATTATTTTAAAATATAGAAATTTAACATTTCTCATTTCATTATTTTTTATATATGTATAATACTCCATATTATAAATAATTTGACAATATGAAACTAGATCTAATATATGATACTAGTCTTTCAACCGTGTGTTGCACGGATAACAAACTCCATAATCATTGAAAACAATTGGAATATATTATTGATTAATTGTTAATGTTGAATCGTTTTTTCGAAAATCACACCATGTTGGCAAAGTAACACAATTTTCTCTAGAAAGTGACTCAGTATCATGTTATGAGTACATAATGCTTCTTCATCATAGGTGCCTTAAATTATATTATATCAGTCTTTTACTTTCATTCCAGAGTTTTTCCACTTCTTATTCTTTGAGCGTAGCTAATGTCCTCATCCATGATTGGAATTTGTAAACATAGAACCAACATGATCGAGAACCAAATAAGCATCATTGTTTCCAACATTCTCATTCTTGTATACATTTGCTAAGAATGAACCAAGACTTCAAGGAATTTTTACAATACATGCAATTACTGTTACAAAACTTGCAAGATATTTTTAAAAACCTGCACCAACTTTTGTTTAAAAGTGCTAAAGTTTTTGTTAACTTTAATTTACTGTTACTTCTGACTTGCGTCTCAAAAATCTGCATCAATAATCAACTAAAGACATAATATATAGATCATCAAACAATAAATATATAACACTCATCACAAATAAAATAGCAAAAACCCAATACGAAAATTTAAATAATAAAAATGAGATGTTTTTTCAAGCTATATGTCATGCTAAATCATTAGCAATTGTAAGTTGTAACCCATACAAAAGTTGTACTCTATAAAACTTAAACGTCTTTCTATATATATGTAGTAAATCTTTATTGTTCATTTACTCTTTTACCCTCACATAGCTTAATTGAATTAATGTGTTACCTCATTTCACTATTCATATAGCCCCTTTAGTGTATCCATTGGGTACTAAACTTTCTAATAACTCAAGGATAATTTTGGAAAGGCACTTTTATTCTCTATCCTACCTAAAAACATGTGAACTCAAAGCCAAAACATAATTTCAAGACAAGAGTATTTTAATAGCTATTTCTTTACATGTTACACAATATTTATTAATGGTTTTTTTTACCCGGTAGTCAACCACCAAAATTAGTGAAGTCGATGTAGGGAACATTTGTCGGCTATTATTAAAATAAATGAAGAGATACAAAAATAAGTGGGACTACGCCAAAAAAACATTCCTAGAGGGCATACCCTCTCAAAACAAAATGCAAATACAAATAAATGAAATTAAAAATAAGATGGACGAAACAAAGCCAGAAAGAAAATAAAAATCAGGTATAGCAAAGATGAGGAAGTACGAAATAGTCGAGCATGTAAGCACTTAAGACTGGCAGGAAGAGAATGGGCTGAAGGAAAAATAACACGTTGGACTGAGCCCAAAGAAAATTTGGATAAGTTATGGGCAGTCCAATTACCCTCTCTCAGTGTATGCATCAGCGTATTCCCCCTTTAGATAAGAAACTCTTCATCTTTTGAGTTAGGAATGTATATT